AGGGAAGAATTTTACACAGAGCTTAGTGGGGGAAAAAAGGGGGTTAGTTTGCACTAGAATATTTACATTAACGTGAATTTATGGTGAGATATTTTTTCATAAAAATGGTGGAACTTTGTGATCTATAAGAGACTCATTATGTGTTTACGTTGGCTGTGTTAGCATACTGTCAGGTAAATATGTCCCAGTGATTCATGGAAGCTCTCCGCTTTTGTGCGGCGAGACACAATCATAATAAACTAGGAAGCTCGCAGCGCGGCGTAATTGAATTGACCATTGTTACATGGCCTGAAATGAGTCTAGTGTTGTAATGTAGTGTTGGGGTGTAATTCGGCGATAAGGAGGGTATTCCTCTGCTAGTTCCATTGACTTTGGCCTTCAGTGGAGCATAATTAAATTTTGATAAACGCAGACGGAGGAAGATATTTGTACCCCGGGAGCAGTGGGTGTTGTATCTGGACATGCTGAGTCTATCTATCTATCTATCTATCTATCTATCTATCTATCTATCTATCTATCTATCTATCTATTTGGATAAGTGGATAAATTTGATGAACGTGGTTTTATGATGACTTTTAATCAATGTGAGTATAAACTATTTACAGCCCGGTAATGGACTGTCTGCAGGACTGCTTTAAGATAAAATATATATATATATATATATGCGCCCAGGCCACAGTAAAGCGGTGCGTGTAATCCGACACAGGCAGCAGGATGATAAAGAAACTTGTTGCCATGGTTGGCTCAGCTCAGCATCAGGGGAAATCATTAGTGTCCAGCTAATACCGAATGGAAAATGGGGGCAAAAATGTGATTACGGCGGGCTGTAACTAAATCCATTCTGCTACATGCATGTAGAGAGGTGCAGTAATTTCCTTATTCGGCTGAGTGATGTTCAGAGGAAATTAGATATTACTGCACTCCCACTAGACATCGATTGATTGATCTGTTTGCTCTTCCATCCAATTAATTTGTTCATCATTTTGCTGTTGTTGTGTGGCGTGCTGATGGAAATAAGTTGGCCTGTAGTGGCATTTCAGTTAATGTAAACATGCGTGCAATGTAAGCGCACTGTAAAAAAAACTACAAAAAAACATGGTTAAAAAAACGAGGAGGTAAAATGACTGGCTCCTGTGCAAAAACTGTAAAACATTCTACATCAAAAACAATACGTACTGAGATTTCTATTACATGTTTAGTAGAGAAACGCTGTTGTTTTATTGATTTTTCCGGAATTGTTTGAACCAAACAGCCTCAATAAGGTGTCCACACATGCTCAAGATTGGTCTTTTTTTGGTCGACAACTACAGTACACACCAGTATTGATTCAAAAACACTTTAATTTATTCAGGTATAAATTTACAACATTAACCAGTTATTCGCCAATAACTGTGCAGAGTCCCCCAGAAGGAAAACAAAAAATGGGACGCAACCTATATTAGAGACTAACACCAGAGTTTAGGGACAATCAAGCTCAAGTACGACCCAAAAACTCTGCACTGCCGCTGCAGAACCACTGGAGGTGCTAAGAGGGCAGCATGCTTGAAAGATTCAACAGTTACAGCGATGCATTATTGTACTCTATAAACAGCTTTTCTGCGCTCTAAAGGTTTGCCTAATTTGTATGCAGACTGCAGAGTATAAATCTAAAAGTACACATGAATAAAAAACTGATGAGGTTAAAATTACGAGGAAACGCGTTGAATTGATCACAAAGCTGCATATTTAATTACAGATAATTGTTGTCATTTTACATAACTTGGTATGTAATTTGATAAAGCAGAAATATAATAGAAGTATAAATGATGTGGTACATTTTTTTTTAATTGGCATTATTTGCATAGTAAAGAGAAGTAACAGTTGGTTGTTCATTTGCTGATAACTGACTTTTTTGTTCAATTAAAAAAATTTAAAAAACAGAAGATTTTAGTTATCTTGTGCAAAATTCGTATTGTTTTTTACAGTGTGAGCTAGACTGTCCTGTATTGTGTTGTTGAGCTACACCTAGAGCTAATCATCATATTAGCTCTGGTTTACATATTTTCCAAAAAAACAAAAACAATAAATGGACCTCAACGCCCATCATGCAATTTTCTCAAGGTGAGATGGCAACATTTCAAGCTAAAAAAAGACAAGAACCATCTTTAGGATACATCACTTGGTCTAATTATGAAGTGATTTACCACGCTATATCATTGGAATTAAAAGTAAACTCAGTCTGGGGAGTCTATTGCAATGCAAAGCCTCATAAAGCCAACATTCACAGCTTCATAAAGTGCACAGGGGTGCATCGTATCATTCGGATTAAAATGCATCTGTTATGCGTTTGAAATATAATTACAGTATTCCATATCACACCTGAAGTAAGGTTTAGCTTGTACTGACTCCAGCAGCACCATTAGCTACCCACAGAGGTATTAGGTATGCTGCAGCTATCATCATCATTATAGCTGCTATTACATGCCTCTCCAAATTTTTTACCACCTATAATGCAGGGCTTGACTGCAGTGCCGTTTGTGTGAGCGTGGTGGGGGAGAAAAGAAAAGGGAAAAAAAAAAAAAAGGCGTAGCTCCAGTCAGCTGCTGTATCTGTGAGGAGGCGATAGGGGAGTCAAGCCGAGCCCAGGCTCCCGGGCATGGTCCTGAGGGGAGCGTTAAAGCAGTCAGGCAGTTCACAATAGCTCCCCAACAAGGTGAGGGAGATTGGAAGACATCTATCAGAGCGACCGGGATGGATGTCAAGTGACTGGGTCCTATTTCCCAGGGGTGCTCAGACCCAAGAAAGGCATTTATGAACTGGAGAAACAAATGATGACAGGGACCGAGGCGAGCCAAGGTGGAAGGAGATGCTGCTGCTGCTGCAAGGAAATCCGGACATGTTGGGTCCAAAGCATGAATCTCTCTTGAAATTCCAATTAAAGTGCACACAAAAGCATTAATTTTCTTATGGTCAGAAGAAAATCAATTCAAAGTGAGGGAGAAGCAAAGAAGGGATGGAGACCAACCTGATGAGACAAAGGCAGTAATGGCTGATGTCCTTGTTTCTAAACGAATGTCCAAACCGTCTAAATGAACGTTTTGTATTCCAGATACATGTATGATTCTTGAGGGTTACATTCATAATTCAAGCCACGAATCAATGAGCCTCCAGCAGTTCTTTCAGAGCTCAAGATGACTCACCATTTGTAAAAGAAAATTAATTGAAACTAGCTCTTTGTTCGAAACTTCAATACAGAATATTTTCGTTTCTACCGCCGTAGTCAGTCCACCTTGATGGCGCTTTGCAAATGATTGCAAAATGAACTTGATTTCACTCAATGGCAGATGCAAAAAAAAAAAAAAAGCGGCGGTATTGAGCCGAATGTGCGCGGAGCTGTTTTTTTTTTTTTGAGCTTGTGCTTTAGCGCTGCTTTGAAGTTGTACCCCTGTGAAGATGACCTATTTCACAGAACTACAGCTCAGCCCCGGTGGAGTGATAGTTGGAGCTGTCACACAGTGAGAGGCTTGCTGGTGTGCTCGCCTGTGGCATTCATGGCAAGGATGGCAGAGATTTTAACACTTTGACCCCTTTGAGCCTTTCCTCCTCCTTCCCGCCACGTATAAGCCAATATTCTGCATTTACCAAAGGGCTGCATCGCCGTGGCCTTCTGTGAGCGTCTCAAGCATGAAATCACTTGCAATGTTATGAGCTGAATAACACTTGTGGATGTGAACTGACTGAAAAATACAGAAGGAGGGGAAACTGCATAAATTAAAGGGGAGGAGGAGACACTTTCATGGTTCGAATCATTAGATGGGATTTAAAGAAAAGGATTTGTGAGATTCTAAAGTGCTGCAGGAGAGAGAGAGAGAGAGAGAGAGGTTTATGCAACTTTGATGGTAGTGATGGAAAATATAAAATGATCTCAATTCTGTGCAGTTAAATATTGGCTGGATGTGAGTGTGTTCTCTGTGTACTTTAGAAAAATCTAAATAGCAGGCTTGTTTTGCAAAAGGTGCATCTTATAAGAAAACACTGGCAGGATGTTTGTTGTCTTACACCTGAAGCAGACCTGAGGTGTGTGGTCAGCCTGCCCTAACCCGGAGCGCCACACTGAGGCACTCAAGCTCCGTCCTGGGACCATATGCAATCATCTGGGAGACAATTTTTTTTCTCTCTCTCTCTCTCTCGCCCCCCACCCCATTGATGAAATCATAAATGAGCTAGACTTGCCAATTAGAGCCTTTAAATGAAAGCAAAAAACGGGTGAAACTGTGCATCGCCGGCGCATTTCGGTGCGTAAAGCTGCACACAAAGCGGGGCAATGACAGTAGCGCTACAGTAGAAGCTGCTCTCTCAGTGCTGGTCACTTCTCATGCAGAGCGCGTCTGCGGAGAGAGTACCGTCGTGGTTCTCTGCGTCCTTCACACTTTGTTCATGCGTGAGGACAGTCCGGCAGAAAAAAAAAAAGCCAAAAAAAAAAAAGCCCAAAGACTCATTATCTTTGGCTCCTTTTGTTTTTTGCGGACAATCGCGCGGAAGTCTGCTGAGGGGATCGAATATCTGATGGAAAACTCAGCGCATCCGCCCGCTATCTCGCTGTAAGGAGGCACCAGGAAACTGAAGAGGAGAGACAACGTGTTGTGAATACAGAAGAGAGCAACTATTGACACCTACAGCCCACCAGTCTGCCGTGCGCCCGGACAAAGCTTAAAAGGGACCATCGCCGCGAAGGATTCCGCTTTGTGTCGGTCCATCACTCCAGGCTGTGAGTCACAGATGCTTATTTACTAGCCAAGTGTCTTCACCTTATCTCTCTCTCTCTCTTTTTTTTTTTTTTTTTGTTCCATCCCGGTGGTGAAAACTGGCTGCCTGCCATCGGTTGTCTTCGAAGCGCACAGAAAACCAATAGACTGTCCAAAAAAAAACAGCAACAACAACAACAAAAACACCCTAAACCCGAATTGTTTGTGGCTCTGACATGCTGTAAAGAGTTGCTTTATCTGAACTGGACCTATATTATGGCTTCACTGTATCAGAGATTCACCGGGAAGATCAATACGACCAATTCCTTTCCGCACCCACCTGAGGCCAGCCACCTTCTCGGTGGACAGGTTGCAGACGAGGAAAACGCAGCGAAGACCCCTCAGCAAGTCGGCGACGGCAGACCTCACGTCCAGTACCGCAAAAAATGCGTGCGGGAGGATGAGGATGTAAGACACTTTATTATTTATTTAGCAGCATAATACCCCACTATGATACAATCTCCAGATGTATAATTCAGATCATGCTTCTTCTCCAGACTTGCACACACACACACACACACACACATGCACGCGCACGCACACACACACACGCAGGCCGAGCAGTGAATCCCTGAAGGATAAAGAAGCTCCCTCATTGGTTTCACTTTCACAGGCTGCTTAGGAAAGTTTGGGGTGTTTATTCTAAGGCAGCTGCTCTCTTACTGGAATTCTTGTTGTGCTGTGTTGTGCCGTGTTGTTGCTCATCTGCCAGGAAGGCCTGAAAAAGCTGCTGTGATTTTTTTTGAGGAACTTCCTAACAGATGCTGCTGCTGATGTGGAGATGAGCGGTGTGTGTGGGGTTTGTGTCTGCAGAGAGCTGGTGCTGACCGTGGTGCTGAAACTGCACAGACTGTTTTGGTTATAGACTCCAGATTTCTGCCACATCACTCAAACGTTCCCGAGATGAATGAAGCTACAGGCCCCCTCGGTGAGCGCTAGACACCAACCCAGAAGCCAAATGTCTCTAATTTCAAATGCGCATTTTGAGAAATAAGTTGCACTTTTTTTTATTTTTTTTGAAAGAAACCACAAGGAGACCTGTAGCTGAACAGACTTCCTCTCAGCCCTGCTGGCCTGTGCTTGGCTTTGCTCCACAGTGCTGCTAGATTTAGGAGCGTCGCTTCCACTGAGCTTATTATTCCGATATTTGTTTGCATGCAGCTAAGATGTGATACTGAATAAATCCTACTCCAAATACGGAGAAAAGGCAAGAATAGTTTGCAGATTTAGAATTGTTTACGAGGTGGGAGGATGGCTAATATGTTTGGATTCTAAATGTCATGTTTGCAGAACTGGGCTGCAAGGTGGCTCGGTAGTTAGCACCGTTGCCTCACAGAGAGAAAGTCGCTGGTTTGCGTCCCACTGAGGACACCCGGGATCTTTCTGCGTGGAGTTTGCATGTTCTCCCTGTGCAGCGTATCTCCGGGTTCTCCGGCTTCCTCCCACAAGGTCCAAAAGCATGCTGAGGTTAATTGGTGATTCTAAATTGTCCGTAGGTGTGAATGTGAGTGTGCTTGGTTGTCTGTCTCTAAGTGTAGCCCTGTGATAGACTGGGGAACTGTCCAGATAATGAATGGATGGATGGATGTTTGCAGAACTTTGCGTCCCTTAGTATCGACACACGGCACGATGCAGAACGTTGCAGAACTGTTCTTCGGCATGCATTGTTTTTCTCTCCAACCAAAGACACATCAGACATTCAAATAGCATAAACCAACTCATGAAATGACCTGCAGAGGGCCTTGACTTGCCTGCAAACCTATCTGTCTGCATGTAGGCCTGATAGATGACCTGTTAGGACATGTGCAGCTTGTTTGTTGATGACACCATTTCAAACCTACAGCAAACAAAAGCGTACTTGATGCTCCTCTGAATTATTGATGTCCGTCACATCGAGAATCAAGTGATGAAGCTGGCAACAGGCTAAACGCTGACACTGCCCGGGGCCTGTCAACAGCGATACCGACGCTGGACAGAAGGCACACTTCCTTCTTTCATTTAAGACCCTCTGTGTTCACTTTATGAGCTACTTCCTCGCTTGCAAATTCAAAGTCAGGATTTTCTCTAACGTTTAAGCCTTAAGATTGTATTTTAGTAGTCGGGGTTTTTTTATTGTACTGCTGGGTTTTCCAACGTATTTATTAGGTTTGCACTGTTAACCTTGAGGTCACCTTTCGTCCTGATGTCCCTCTGAGTCGTGCTGGAGCATGAAATTGCCTTTTGCCTCAGGAGATGGGGAGACCATTTCAAGGAGTGTTATTTCCAATCCCTCCCTTCTCAGGAAAAGTTTGAGCCGCTCTATTGTTGTTCTCATTTATTTTGCAGAAGGAAAGGGCAAACATTGACTTGGAAATGGCCTGAATTTCATTTCATTCGTCCAGATATTTGTCCGCACCGTTGTCCACCCCGTTTTCTAAAATCTCTCGGTTTCAAATGCAAGACGCGCTTTTTCGAGCTAAGTCTGAATTAGTGAAACGGGGAAAAGGGAAAATTAGATTTTCTGTAAACAACTGTTTAATTGGTTTACTGCAGTGTTCGTCTGAGCTCTTGAGCTCACAACATGCAGCTTCTGCATCTTTGTTTGCGGGAGAGGTTTGTGTGTGTGTGTGTTGTGAGATTGATTAATTGTTCCTTTGCTGTGCGTGTGTGTGTGTGTGTGCTTCAGTATTTTGTGGTCGAGTCTGAGTCACCTTGGGAGATATCAGCAGTAGTTCTTTCTCCTGCTCACTACCCTTTACTGCAAATAGAAACCAATGAACATCCTTAATTAACCGCTGCATGTGAAGGAGAAATATGGTGACATTTTAGCTCCAGACTGGAGCCTGGGGACACCGTCGTGGCCTGGCATGTATCGACATTTCCTTTACGGACAGACAACAGCGAGCTAAAGTAAACATGTCTGCCTGTTTGTGTCACTGTGATAGTGAAGGATGACGTCTGACTCATGTCATGACCCGACGGAGGAGCCATGATGAAAGAGGGAGAGCGAAGGCCAGCGCTTCATGAATAAAAATATTACAAAAATAAGAAATAAGAAAAGACGTGGCAGCTGGTATCATCAGTCGGATGGTGAACAGCATGATGTTAGTTTTGTTAAATGACACAAAGCTAACAAAGACGTGCAGCTTCGCTCAGACTGAGGAACAGTGGATTTATAGAGGGAAACACCTGGTCAAGGTAGCTCCACTTGTCCTGACGTTCTGCTACCATCACCTACTGCAGTAAACATATAAACAGAATATACAATCAAGCAGACGTCACCATTATAGGCTCAAGCGTTCGTCGAGACTCGTTTAAGTGGTTGGTTGGCCCTTTTAGGGAAATTGATTTTTTAAAGATGAACCTTTCTCGCACATACAGACCACAAATGCAAATAAAACAGATAACAGCACAACATAATAGTACCCAAGGCCGTCAAACATTCAAAATACAAACGTACGAATGGCAACAACAAATCAATTTGAACGGTTAAAAAAAAATTCTCTCCGATGACATTCTAAATTTTACCTTGCTAACGTGTCTATATTGTGTATTTTTTAACGAGCAAAATAAGCCATAATAACGCTGTGACTGAGCATTTCCACCTTGAAACTGCACCGCACAGATTAAAAACGTCTTAAAAACAAGAATCACATTAATATGGACGGGGCTTTCTGTATCGTTATTATTCTTCAGATTCTAACATGTATGGCTGAACTGTGTATCTGTTAAATGTGTAGCTTAGAGTAGTTTAAGCAGAGATTAAAGGTGAGCAGGTGTGCTGAGCTGCAGTGAGACATGGATGGAGAGAGGAAAGGACTTAAGAGATCTGCACATACAAGAGGAAGCAATAATGCATAGAGGTACATTTTAATCCTGGGAAGGATTAAATTCACTGAGCTTTGTCTAACAATGACAGTGAGCCATAGAAATAATAATATAATTACAAAATGCCACTAAAAACAGTTTAACTCCTGGATATTAAGTCAAACTTTCTTAATTTGAACATCCAGTTTCTCATTATCCTTTTATGGAGCTCAAATCAGTGGCGCTGGCGGCTTTAATCCTGCACGAACCATGTGTACATTAAAAAAACAATATTTATTTAGCTATTTTTTGTTGAATAATGTGTTTTATATAAATGTTTTTTTCGGCTGCATTCTCTCAGCTATGATGCAAACACATTTAAAGGTCACTGCCATTAACGTTTCCGGCACTTAAACTGTGATGTCGGCAATGTTGGCTTTACCGCTTCCTGTGTGTCAGTGAGCAAATAAGCAGCCTGGAAATAAGAGAACAGAAAATAATTGAACATATTTCCGCCTGTTGAGAACAGAAAGCAAATTAACCTAACTGCTTAAGATTCTGCCGAGTCTGTCGACGTCCTGCTGCTAATATTTACCATTACAGCAGCAGTTACAGCTACACGTCTGCTCAGTCCAACTAACACCACGGCTCCAAACCTCCCAGAGGATGGTAGACTCCAGAACATCTGTGAAAAGCAACACGGATTCCAGAGGTGCTCCCACACAGCCACGTGTTAAAGCTCAGCACCTGCCACCCGGCGACCCGCCACCGCCGAGCCGTTTATGGCAGCAGATAATAGAGGAGCGTGGTGCTTTTGATGCCTGGCGTTGACACTGCAGATGTGGAGCTTGAACTATGGAGGCAGCATAATAAGCACACACCTGCCATTAGTGACATCTGCCAGGTTCTGAGATTGTCTTCTACCCACACATAAATACATCACAACCGCTGACGAACGCCGCCGCCGCCGCCACCGCAGACGTCGTTTGAAGATTTATCTCAGGAGCGCAACGACTGACAAAACACACGGTCACAAACGACGAGGATAGTTATAAGAAGATGTTGCAGCATCTAAGGTAGCAGACAGTCCTTGTAGTGTGTTGGCTCAGCTTTGAAACGTCGGCTGATAAGAGTGGTAGAACGTAACCGAGTACATTTACTCAAGTCACAAAGTCGAAATCTGAGAGTGAGCGTTTTAATCTGGTGCAACTTCATACTTCATTTGTCTGACAACTCCAGTTACCTTCTAGATGATAATTTTTCATTCTCTTTCGCTCCCTAAAAAATTAGCTATCTCTACGCGGTCACTTTGAATATCTGTGATAAACAGAGAAAACTAGCAATTAGTTTTTAATAACCCTCCTGGATTAACCGCAAAATGCAATATCACAAAGCTAAAAACAGAGCTGTTGTTCTGAGATAATGAAAAGATAATTTATTTTTTAGAGAAACAAATAAAAAGTAGTTTAAAATCAGCTCAGTCTTGATCGTTTACTCTCAAACTTTTTGAGCCACGACCCCCGAGATAACATAAGTTTGTGTTTGTGACCCCTCAATGTGAATTTTTCACATGGCATGAGTTATAACTTTGCTGTTCGTGCATTAATGCATAAAAATTAATG